CATGGTGAGGCTGCCAGTTCGGACCAAAAAGCGGCTGAAAAATATGTGCAGGAATTCAAGGAGTACATAGAGGCTGAAGGATTGAAACCCCAACAAGTGTTTAATTGTGACAAAACAGGCCCGTTTTGGAAGAAAATGCCAAACAAGACCTACATTACACAGGAGGAAAAAGCACTCCCAAGACACAAGCCTATGAAGACAGGCTAACCTTACTATTGTGTAGTAATGCTAGTGGGGATTGCAGAGTGAAGCCTCTATTCATGTATCACTCTGAAACTCCAAGTGTGTTCAGGAAAAACAATGTCCTCAAGGCTAATTTGTGTGTGATGTGGAGGGCAAACAGTAAGGCATGGGTCACTAGGGACTTTTTCTATGACTGGTTTCACCATGTGTTTGGCCCCACTGTGAAAAATTACCTCCTGGAAAATAAATTGGACCTTAAGTGCCTCCTGGTATTAGACAATGCTCCTGGTCATTCTTCAGATTTGGCAGAGCGAATTTCGGGGGAAATGAGCTTCATAAAAGTGAGATTTTTGCCTCCAAATACTACTACTCTCCTGCAGCCCAAGGACCAGCAGGTCATTTCAAACTTCAAAAAACTCTACACAAAAGCTATGTTTCAAGAGTGCTTCGAAGTGACCTCAGACACTTGACTGACCCTAAGAGAGTTTTGGAAAGATCATTTTAGCATCCTCAGTTGCATAAACCTTATAGGTAAGGCTTGGGAGGGAGTGACTAAGAAGACCTTGAACTCTGCTTGGAGGAAATTGTGGCCAGAATGTGTAGAAGAGAGGGATTTTGAAGGGTTTGGGGCTAACCCTGAGAAGCCTATGCCAGTTGTGGAATCTACTGTGGCATTGGGGAAGTCCTTGGGGTTAGAGGTTAGTGGGGAGGATGTGGAAGAGCTGGTGAAGGAGGACAATGAAGAACTAACCACTGATGAGCTGCAGGAGCATCTGCAACAGCAAGAGGCCACAACTGAGGAAACTGCTTCAGAGGGGGAGAGAGAAATTGAGGAAGCTGCCTTCTTCAAAGATTAAGGAAATTTGTGCAAAGTGGGTTGAGGTCCAAACCTTTATAGATAAAAATCACCCTAGCACAGCTATTGCAAGCCGTGCTGGTAACTATTACAATGACAATGTTGTGGCCCATTTTAGGCAAATCTTAAAGGAACGCGAGGTACAGAGCTCTATGGACAGATTTGTTGTGTGACAGAGGTCCAGTGACTCTCAAGCTGGTCCTAATGGCATTAAAAAACAAAGAAAGGAAGTAACCCCGGAAAAGAACTTGCTACTTCAAGTCCTCATGGAAGGGGATTCCCCTTCCAAACAATAATAATGTTCATCATCTCTCCTCCTCCCATCCCATCACTCATCACCAGATCTTCAATAAAGGTAATGTCATTTATTCTTCATTGCACAATAATATATATCATGCATGTCTCCTTTTCATGTGTAGGAAAATGTATATTTCATGTGGTAAAAAATTTTTTTTTTCATATTTTGGGGTGTCAGGAACGGATTAATTTGATTTCCATTATTTCTTATGAGGAAAATTAATTCTGCTAATGATAATTTCATCTAACAATGAGCTCTCTGGAACGGATTAATATAGTTGTTCGAGGGTCCATTTGTTCCCTTTCTGCTTCTCGTGTCTGGTACAAATGTTTAAGTTTTTGGATTACATCAATAATCTCATGATTTAGACTGTCTTTCTTTCATTGTAATATTTTTTATTTAAGTAGCTCAGTAACCCTTTTTGTCTTCTAAATATTCTCCTTTTCTATGTGTTCTTCTTATAGGCTTTCTCAGCAAAAAATTCTTTAAACAGACTTTGTACATTCAACTTTTCTATGCACCAGTGTGTGTGCTTAGGGTGCTCAGGATGGTGTTCTAGCGAATATGAAAATTTTTCTTTTGTCTTGTTGACACTATCAAAGCTTATCTGCTGCTACTATGACTAATTTACTATCAGAGTACATACAGATATCATAATCAAGAGAGCATAATAAACAATTTTAAGGCCATTAATCACACTCAAAAAATTATTATTATTATTTTTCAACAAGTCAGCCATCTCCCACCTAGGCAGGGTGACCCAAAAATAAAGAAAATCCCCAAAAAGAAAATACTTTCATCATCATTTAACACTTTCACCTCACTCATACATAATCACTGTCTTTGCAGAGGCACCCAGATACAACAGTTTAGAAGCCTATATAAAGATATATAACACATTGTAGGTAGTAGGTTGGTAGACAGGAACCACCCAGGGAGGTACTACCATCCTGCCAAGTGAGTGTAAAATGAAAGCCTGTAATTGTCTTACATGATAGTAGGATTTCTGGTGTCTTTTTTCTGTCTCATAAACATGCAACTTCTTCTTACACTTAGGTCACACTACACATACTTGTACAAGCACATACAGTGGAACCTCTACTTACGAGTGCATCCATGTGCGAGTTTTTCCAGATACGAGCATCTGCTCGGTCAATTTTTTGCTTCCAGATGCGAGCGGGCCTCAAGTGAAGTTAATTGACACTGGTGAGGGGGCTCTTTCTCTTGATCTAGGGAATTGGATCTCAGTTGTTTGTTGGACTATCTTATTGAAACTTGGGCAATGTATGATGAAAAGATGCTTCTTAACATACACCGAAAATGAAAGAAATCGGACCATAAATAACGGAGTTCACTTCTCAGCCATTAGCCTCCAGCTAGCTGTATATTTTTGTATGGTTTTTAAAGTTGTATTCTCGTTTTAATTGGTCTTATGTGATAGAATGGAAGATATACTACAAAAATAAATATGATTTTAATTGATTTCACGATGAAAAGTACCTTGAAATTGACTTCAAAATAGCAGAAATGTTCGATTCTTTGGCGACATCAGTGGTAGACATCATGAGGTAGCAGTGGCAGACAACATGAAGCAGCAGTGGCAGACAACATGATGCAACAGTGGCAGACATCATGAGGTAACAGTGGCAGACAACATGCAGCAGCAGTGACAGACATCATGAGGTAGCAGTGGCAGACAACATGAAGCAGCAGTGGCAGACATCATGAGGTAGCAGTGAGAGATAACATGAAGCAGCAGTGGCAGACAACATGAGGTAGCAGTGGCAGACAACATGAAGCAGCAGTGACAGACAACATGAAGCAGCAGTGACAGACAACATGAAGCAGCAGTGATAGACAACATGAAGCAGCAGTGGCAAAGTGTAGCATTAAGAGTGTAGCAATTAAGTGTAGCATTAAGAGTGTAGCAATTAAGTGTAGCATTAAGAGTGTAGCAATTAAGTGAAGCATTAAGAGTGTAGCACTTATAAGTCACTCTGACTTTTTTGGGTTATCCTAGGTTCTCTACACATGTAGTCAAGAGCAGGAATGGCTGCTGTGGTGGGCCTATAAACCCCAACAACAATGACTGCTGTCACCACCGCTAGCCACATACCTAATGACATGTATTTTATTCATTCTAGTGTATATATCATATTTCTATGTTATTAATATTGTTTATTATGTCATATTACATGAATTGTGATAGATAAATAAGCTGTAGAGTTGATATTAGGGAAATTATTGAAGTATTTTCTCGTGCCTGGAATTCCACTGGAACGAATTAATTCCATTTCAGTTAATTTAAATGAGGAACATTGACTCTGCAAACAAGCAAATCCAGTTGCGAGCAAGGTCATGGAATGGATTAAACTCGTAAGTAGATGTTCCACTGTATATACACACCCCTCTGGATTTTCTTTATAGTTCTTGTTCTTGTTTATTTCCTCTTATCTCCATGGGAAGTGGAACAGAATTCTTCCTCCATAAGCCATGCATGTTGCAAGAGGCGACTAAAATGCCAGGAGCAAGGGGCTAGTAACCCCTTCTGTACAAATTACTAAATTTAAAAAGAAAAATTTTCCTTTCTTTTTGGGCCACCCTGCCTTGGTGGGATATGGCCAGTTTGTTGAAAAAAAAAAAATATAACACATCCCTCCAACTGCCAATATCCCAAACCCCTTCTTTAAAGTACAGGCATTGTACTTCCTATTCCCAGTACTCAAGTTTGGCTATATAAAAATAGTAATTAATTATTATTAATCCTAATTAAGTGGAAACAGGAATATTTGGATTAAAAATAATTATTATTATTAATCCTAATTAAGTGGAAACAGGAATATTTGGCTGGTTAAAACAATTAATAAAAATAAAAAGTACATGGGACTCCCCAGTTTATGAACAAGTTGCATTTCTTGACAAACATAGCCTTTGTAACTAAGAACCCCTTTTGTTATGTACGCCAGCTATCTCCCACCTTGGTAGAGTGACTCAAAAGGAGTGATCGCATTCACCGTCATTCATCTTGTGCCAACATCCTCACCCCTCCTGTAGAGTGTAGACACTGTACTTCCCACCTTCAGGATTCAAGGCCAGCTAACCAGTATCTTTGAATCCCTTCACAAATGTTACCTTGCTCACACTCCAACAGCATGTCAGATCACAAAAACCACTTGCCTCCACTCACTCTGATCTAATGTGCTCGCAGAACCCCTTATATAAATATAAAATACAAAAATGCAAAATGATTGTACTGTACAAAGGATAATTACCAGAATGCATTACACAGGTTCATAAATACACATCAGAATACATAAAACAATCACTTTCTTAATATTATGTGTTTTGGATTTTGTTCTTAAGTGTAGATCATTGAAACTCGAGCATTTGTAAATCAAGGACTTCCTGTATCCAAATCTTAATTTTTTTTTTTTTTTTTTTTTTTTTTAATTTTTAACCTAGCATGGTATACTCCTGAAATTACAAGAGCAACCCCTAACCCCTGCACAACTAATTACTTCAAGAAATCATTAACAAAATAATTAGCCTAATTACAATATTTCTACTGAGATGTTTTAGCTATCATTCCTAATACCTCTGGTGGCATATTCAAGGAAAGTTAAATTTTTTAAATTAATAAAATTCTTCAGCAAAAATGCTTACCTTGACTATCAAATCCAAGAATGTCATTTCCAACTGAAGAGGTTCTTCCAGTCTCCATCTCATGCTTGTGTCGAAACAGCTTCATGCGTGCAGTACCACGGCCATTATCCAATTCACCGTGCGTCAAGACACCCAGCAGAGTTGACTTTCCTGCATCTACATTTCCAACTACTGCCACTCTGAAATGCATAAAGGAGATCATAATAAAATTTAAACAACACTTTTTAATCACAAGCAACTATTTACATCGGGAGCAAGGGGAAAGTAACCCATTCTCCTGCATAAATTACTAAATTTAAAAAGAAAAACTCATTTTTCTTTTTAGTCACCCTGCCTCAGTGGAATATGGCCAATTCATTGAAAAAAAAAAAACTATTTACATGACTCTCTGTTCACTCTTAATGAAATGACAAGTACAATGGTACATTATACCCTACTGACCCCCCCTCCATTCCATAGCATGCATTAAATATTAAAAAAACAGAGTATTCTGTTAATTAACTTGGGAGGACTTCAGAATATGTAGGTAAGCAGGAGGGAGGGAAGAACACACACAATAAATGCATCAAAAAATTAAATATGAAAATAGCTTTCAGTGAAAGAACACTATCAAATTTTCACAAACTTTACCACTAGTTGATATTCACATCCATACTGCTTATCTTTTTCTTTAGAGCATTAACAATTTGCAACTTGTAAAAGCCTTAAGATACATATAATGTATTTCAACCATTACTGAACCAGTGAAAATATTGTCACTTTGACGGATCAAAGACCAATTGCTTCTCTTCCAGTTTCTCAAACTGACTATTTATACTTCTTTCAAAGAGTATTACTTTTCATCTAGGGGCATTAACTTTCAAATTTATCTTCACATAAATGAATGCAGCAAATTCACAAATAATGTCCATCAATTCTTAGGCTACAACATGAATTACAAATTCCCTCATTAGCATCCAGTATCCACACAAATTTAAACTTGCCTGCCATCTGAATTTTCCAGTCAAGGCCTATCTTATAACTACTCTATACCAGTAAAGAACAAATATATCAAAGGAATAACATCAAACCTATGCCCAGCCCACAAATTCAACATTACTCACTACAGAAACTTTGTTGTATCCCATATCATAAACGATAAATTTCACTAATCAACATATATTTATGCAATCAATGTGAAAATCAATGAATTCCTGAAAATGACTTTAACCCTTTCACCACTGTGAACCCTGAAATATTTTGTGAAGGAATTCAGGACAACCACTTAGCCAGCCTTGAGTCCTAGAGGTGAGAAGTATAGTGCCTGCACTCTAAAGAAGGGGTGGAGATGTTTGCAGTTTTGCACCTCTGGCAAGACAGTGACAGAGTAAATAATGGTGAAAGTGTTTCTTATCAAGTCGCCCTACCTTGGTGGGAGATGCCGTGAGTGTTAATTTTTTTTTTTATTTTATTTGTGTTACATAACCCAATATTATTAATGTACAATTATTGCACTCCAAAACTGCTCAAAATGTTTGACAGTGTTATGTCTGTGTACAGAGGTCACGGACACCCGAAACAAATCATCTTTTCATTCTTCAGTAAATTTTAGTTTGGAAGCTATGAACTGACTATCAAACAAATACAAGTAGTATGCATAAAAAGGCTTAAAAGAAATTTATTACCTTTTCTACAAAAGATTTTGAGCATTGAATTTCATGTCAATGTTCTGAGTGCTTCTTCAAGGTTTCTTACATTTAAAGGCAGTTGAAACATTATGTTCATTTGCCATACCATGAGATCAAGGAAGAGAAAGTCCAAACACAAGATGTCAAAAACAAGTCTCCCAACAAAAAAACATAAAATTTAAGTCACCACCACACAAAGAAGGAAATGTATAAGCCAAAATAAGCAGAGATATGAATCACAATAAAGCCCTAGAGAATGTAATGAGTATTGAAAGGTTAATAAGAAAGGCAACTACATACTATTAGCATACTACTGTACAAGAAGCTGTCTGATAATGAAGTATGGCAATTAACATTTTTTAGTGGTCTCATACATCCTCCTGTTACATCTAATTTAACATAAAAATTAATTCCCAATAGCTAATGTCAGAATTATGAGAGCAAAATTTATATTAGGCACACCTAACTTCCATAAAGTCTTCAGCATCAGCCTTTTTTCTGACAAGAAACTGCCCTTGAGTCCCAGTCTTGGACTTCTTTTCTCTGAGTAAAACACAGTCTGCTTCAAGAGTGTCAGCCAGTGACTTTAGTGTAGCCACAGATGCATCGTATTCCTCTTCTTGCAAGCCACACACAGAGTCATCTGAAGTGGTTTAAACACGACTGTAACTGTCATTCATGATCACAATATACACTATACTAAATGTAAAAACCAAAGCAATATATAAATGTGCTTCAAATAAAGTATAAAATACTGACAAATGTATAAGAGAAACATGTGAACAATATTACCTAACTTTATTTAAAATCACTTTACCTATCTGGTAGGCAAAAAAAAATCCTTAAAAGTGACTTGATGTTGCACACGACTCTCATACAAGTAAAAAAAAAATGTATACAGTTGAACCCCATATCTGATAAATTAGGCACAATAGGTGGAAAATGATCACTTTTTCACTGAAGGAAAGCACTTCACAGCTTCTCTTGGGTTTTGAAGAACTGCTGACCTCTCTACTTTGGCACTTTGGGGCCATTATTATGCAAAATTAAGAGGTATTTTTGGGTCACAATAAGCCATGGATACTAAAACTGCTGATAGCAAATCTGTGAATACGGGGGCTCTGCTGTAATTTAGTAAAAAATTTATAAGAACAATGGCTGCTTCTGTTTCCTTTTAATATTCACTGCTTCTGTCAACTGCAGTGCCATATTTACAATTTCCATCCACATTTCACACACATTTACTATCTCTTACCATGGGTTTAAGCCCCCACCCATTACAATTTTTTGAGTCAATACAAAGTTGATTTATTATGGCTCATTTTTGCACTGACAGTATTTCTTTAAAAGCTCATATCCACATAAGTTTCAATTAGTACAGCACACAGCTGGATTTTATTAAATACAGTGGAACCCTGAGTTTCGGCAGTAATCCATTCCAGGAGCTAGGCCTAAAGTCGAAACGGCCTAAAGTCAAAGCAATATTTCCCATAAGAAACAATGTAAATCCAATTAATCCGTTCCACCCAATTTTTTTTTTTTCAACAAGTTGGCTGTCTCCCACCAAGGCAGGGTGACCCAAATAGAAAGAAAATCCCCAAAAAGAAAATACTTTCATCATCATTCAACTCTTTCACCTCACTCACACATAATCACTGTTTTTGCAGAGGTGTTCAGAATATAATAGTTTAGAAGTATATACGTATAAAGATACACAACATATCCCTCCAAACTGCCAATATCCTAAACCCCTCCTTTAAAGTGCAGGCATTGTACTTTCCATTTCCAAACTCAAGTCCGGCTATATAAAATAACCAGTTTCCCTGAATCCCTTCACTAAATGTTACCCTGCTCACATTCCAACAGCTCGTCAGATCCCAAATACCATTCGTCTCCATTCACTATCTAACACGCTCATGTATGCTTGCTGAAAGTCCAAGCCCCTCACCAACAAAACCTCCTTTACCCCCTCCCTCTAACCTTTTCGAGGACAATCCCTACCCCACCTTCCTTCCCCTACAGATTTATACACTCTCCATGTCATTCTACTTTGATCCATTCTCTCTAAATGACCAAACCACCTCAACAAACCCTCTTCTGCCCTCTGACTAATACTTTTATTAACTCCACACCTTCCCCTAATTTCCACACTCTGAATTTTCTGCATAATATTTACACCACGCATTGCCCTTAGACAGGACATCTCCACTGCCTCCAACTGCCTCCTCGCTGCAGCATTTACAACACAAGCTTCACACCCACATAAGAGTGTTGGTACTACTATACTTTCATACATTCCCTTCTTTGCCTCCATAGATAACATTTTTTGCCTCCACATATACCTCAATGCCCCACTCACCTTTTTTCCCTCATCAATTCTATGATTAACCTCATCCTTTATAAATCCATCCGCTCACACGTCAACTCCCAAATATCTGAAAACATTCACTTCTTCCATACTCCTCCTCCCCTAGTTGATATCCAATTTTTCTTTATCTAAATCATTTGACTGTGGATGTTATGAATGAGAAGAAGCTGAATGTCCTGGCTTTAAGTGAAACAAAGCTGAAGGGGGTAGGAGAGTTTCAGTGGAGAGGAATAAATGGGATTAGGTCCGGGGTTTCAAATAGAGTTAGAGCTAAAGAAGGAGTAGCAATAATGTTGAAGGATAAGTTATGGCAGGAAAAGAGGGACTATAAATGTATTAATTCAAGGATTATGTGGAGTAAAATAAAGGTTAGATATGAAAAGTGGGTTATAGTAAGCGTATATGCACCTGGAGAAGAGAGAAGCGTAGAGGAGAGAGAGAGATTTTGGGAAATGTTGAGTGATTGCGTGGGGAGGTTTGGACCAAGTGTAAGAGTAATGGTGGTTGGGGATTTCAATGCTAAAGTGGGCAAAAATGTTGTGGAGGGAGTAGTAGGTAAATTTTAGGTGCCAGAGGTAAATGAAAATGGGGAGCCTTTAATTGAGCTATGTGTAGAAAGAGGTTTAGTAGTAAGTAATACATATTTTATGACGAAGAGGATAAATAAATTTACAAGGTATGATATAGCACGTAATGAAAGTAGTTTGTTAGATTATGTATTGGTGGATAAAAGGTTGATGGGTAGGCTCCAGGATGTACACGTTTATAGAGGGGCAACTGACATATCGGATCATTATTTAGTTGTAGCTACAGTTAGAGTAAGAGGTAGATGGGAAAAAGAGGAAAATGGCAACAACAAGAGGGAGGTGAGAGTGTATAAACTAAGGGAGGAGGAAGTTCGGGTGAGATATAAGCAACTACTGGCAGAAAGGTGGACTGGTCCAAGTATGAGCAGTGGGGGGGAGGGGTTGAAGAGGGTTGGAATAGTTTTAAAAATGCAGTATTAGAATGTGGGGCAGAAGTTTGTGGTTATAGGGGGGTGGGTGCAGGAGGAAAGAGGAGTGATTGATGGAATGATGAAGTAAAGGCTGTGATAAAAGAGAAAAAGTTAGCTTATGAGAGGTTTTTACAAAGCAGAAGTTTTATAAGAAGAGTAGAGTATATGGAGAGTAAAAGAAAGGTGAAGAGAGTGATTAGAGAGTGCAAAAGGAAAGCAGATGATAGAATGGAAGAGGCACTGTCAAGAAATTTTTATGAAAATAAGAAAAATTTTTGGAGCGAGTTAAACAAGTTAAGAAAGCCTAGAGAACAAACGGATTTGTGAGTTAAAAACAGAGTAGGGGAGTTAGTAGAAGGGGAAATGGAGGTTTTGGGTAGATGGCGAGAATATTTTGAGGAACTTTTAAATGTCGACGAAGAAAGGGAGGCGGTAATTTCATGCACTGGACAGGGAGGTATACCATCTTTTAGGAGTGAAGAAGAACAGGATGTGAGTGTGGGGGAGGCGTGTGAGGCATTACGTAGAACGAAAGGGGGTAAAGCAGCTGGAACTGACAGGATCATGACAGAAATGTTAAAAGCAGGGGGGGATATAGTGTTGGAGTGGTTGGTATTTTTGTTTAATAAATGTATGAAAGAGGGGAAGGTACCTAGAGATTGGGGGAGAGCATGTATAGTCCCTTTATATAAAGGGAAGGGGGACAAAATAGATTGTAAAAATTATAGAGGAATAAGTTTACTGAGTATACCAGGAAAACTGTACGGTAGGGTTATTCTAATTGAAAGAATTAGAGGTAAGACAGAATGTAGGATTGCGGATGAGCAAGGAGGTTTTAGAGTGGGTAGGGGATGTGTAGATCAAGTGTTTATATTGAAGCATATATGTGAACAGTGTTTAGATAAAGGTAGGGAAGTTTTCATTGCATTTATGGATTTAGAAAAGGCATATGATAGAGTGGATAGGGGAGCAATGTGGCAATGTGGTAAGTTACTAAATGCTGTAAAGAGTTTTTATGAGGATAGTGAGGCTCAGGTTAGGGCGTGTAGAAGAGAGGGAGACTACTTCCCGGTAAAAGTAGGTCTTAGACAGGGATGTGTAATGTCACCATGGTTGTTTAATATATTTATAGATGGGGTTGTAAAGGAAGTAAATGCTAGGGTGTTCGGGAGAGGGGTGGGATTAAATTTTGGGGAATCAAATTCAAAATGGGAATTGACACAGTTACTTTTTGCTGATGATACTGTGCTTATGGGAGATTCTAAAGAAAAATTGCAAAGGTTAGTGGATGAGTTTGGGAATGCGTGTAAAGGTAGAAAGTTGAAAGTGAACATAGAAAAGAGTAAGGTGATGAGGGTATCAAATGATTTAGATAAAGAAAAATTGGATATCAAATTGGGGAGGAGTATGGAAGAAGTGAATGTTTTCAGATACTTGGGAGTTGACGTGTCGGCGGATGGATTTATGAAGGATGAGGTTAATCATAGAATTGATGAAGGAAAAAAGGTGAGTGGTGCGTTGAGGTATATGTGGAGTCAAAAAACGTTATCTATGGAGGCAAAGAAGGGAATGTATGAAAGTATAGTAGTACCAACACTCTTATATGGGTGTGAAGCTTGGGTGGTAAATGCAGCAGCGAGGAGACGGTTGGAGGCAGTGGAGATGTCCTGTTTAAGGGCAATGTGTGGTGTAAATATTATGCAGAAAATTCGGAGTGTGGAAATTAGGAAAAGGTGTGGAGTTAATAAAAGTATTAGTCAGAGGGCAGAAGAGGGGTTGTTGAGGTGGTTTGGTCATTTAGAGAGAATGGATCAAAGTAGAATGACATGGAAAACATATAAATCTATAGGGGAAGGAAGGCGGGGTAGGGGTCGTCCTCGAAAGGGTTGGAGAGAGGGGGTAAAGGAGGTTTTGTGGGCGAGGGGCTTGGACTTCCAGCAACGTGCGTGAGCGTGTTAGATAGGAGTGAATGGAGACGAATGGTACTTGGGACCTGACGATCTGTTGGAGTGTGAGCAGGGTAATTTTTAGTGAAGGGATTCACAGAAACCGGTTATTTTCATATAGTCGGACTTGAGTCCTGGAAATGGGAAGTACAATGCCTGTACTTTAAAGGAGGGGTTTGGGATATTGGCAGTTTGGAGGGATATGTTGTGTATCTTTATATGTGTATGCTTCTAAACTGTTGTATTCTGAGCACCTCTGCAAAAACAGTGATAATGTGTGAGTGTGGTGAAAGTGTTGAATGATGATGAAAGTATTTTCTTTTTGGAGATTTTCTTTCTTTTTTGGGTCACCCTGCCTCGGTGGGAGACGGCCGACTTGTTGAAAAAAAAAAATGTTATACATAAACAAATGATGTCAAACACAGTGGTGTGTGCGGGGGAAGATGTTGATGACCTAAGTATGTTTAGGGCAGCACTGAAGGTCTGTCAGGAAACAGAGGCTGTACAAGACTGTTGAGAAAATTTTTCATCACACATTATCAGAATGATAATCAATGCCATACCTGTGAAGAAGTTTTTGGAGGGTTTTCTGTTCTCTCTAGTGACCACTTAATCAGCCAGGAGATTTCTGCCCATAGCCCACAGACATGCACAACCATTCACAACCTGGCTTAACAGGCACATTCTACCAAATAGCCCAGTTTCCTCATTAAGATTTCAACCATTCTTCAGGCAGTATTTCTTATGCAGGTCCTTGTACAATACAGTATGTGCTGATGAGGGTTGAAAGTTATGTACCTCAGATGTTGAAACTTCTCTTTTCTTTTGGGATCCCTGCTTTTTATTGGGTTTATTCTATAATACTTCCTATATCTCTCACTCCAGTAGGTTGTTATTTCAGTGTACAAATATGAGACTGGCCTTCAAGGGTTTTCTTTGCATAGAAAGAGTACACAAATAACCTGCAGATAGAAGAAAGGAACTTATGACATTTCAGTCCGGCTTGGACCATTAACTAGTGTATGACTAGTTAATGGTCCAAGTCGGACCACAATATCATCATGAGTTTTTTCTCCTATGTGTGGGTTATTTGTGTATTGTTCCAGTCATGTTTTTGTGCCTTTTTATTTTTTATACAGAGTACATTCCAACAGATTTTACATAGGTCCAATAACTTTAATGTTTTACTGATTCTGTATGGGCAGTAAATTGTGTCTATTTTCTAGCTTGACTATTTCACTTACCTTCAAAGATGTGAAAATAAAATAGAATTTTAAACCCAAGTATAGTACAGTTGAGCATATAATTCCTAAATGCCACATCTTTTGAATGTTCCGATAATCCACCCGTTAACTTCCTAGCCTTGCTTACATTTGCTTTACTGTGCTCTCCAACATTTTATTGCACTCTCTAAATATTAGGTTGTCAGACATTAATATTCCTAAATCATTTACCAACTCCTGCCATCCTATTAACCCTCTGAGGGTCGGTCATGTACATGTACGTCTTAACACCCAGTGTCAGTCAAGTACATACTTATATGCCAAAAATCTAGTGCCTTTAAATCTGGTGGAAGAAAGCTGGTAGGTCTACATATGAAAGAATGGGGCTGCGTGGTCAGTGTGCACAGTATAAAAAAAATCCTGCAGCACGAATTGCATGAGAAAAAAAACCTCCGACCGTGTTTTTGGTTTAAAACAGCGACTTTGCAGCGTATTTTCATATGGTATTTATGGTTGTATTCTCGTTTTCTTGATCTCATTTGATAGAATGGAAGATATATTACAGACATAGAGATGATTTTGACTGGTTTCACAATGAAAAGTACAGTGAAACCTCGACTTACGAGTGACCCACCATACGAGTTTTTCAGGATACAAGCAGTCGCTTGGTCGATTTTTTGTTTCTGGATACGAGCAAAAATTCAGGATGTGAGCTTCCCCCCCATACAGCTTTTTTTTAGACATCCAGATCTTACAAAAGTAAAAGTGAATATATAATTGTAGTTCATTGTTGTGATGTATTATGTTTTCACTACTTAAAGCTATAACTGTAACAGAAATAATAGTAGGTATTTCTTACTTTATATTGTGGGTACTCATGTTTGTCGATGATTGTGAAGAGAGTGGAGAATTATCCTATGGCCCTACTGGGCTGAGGTGGATGGTAGAGGTTTTGGTACTGAAGTCGATGGTTGTACTGGAATGTGTATAAATTCTGTAATGGATTTCTATTCTATTTTAGTTGAGGTTCCACTGTACCTTGAAATTGAGCTCAAAGTAGTGGAAATGTTCGATTTTTGCCGATGTTCAAGAGTAAACAAATCACGCCACACGTCCAATACACGTCAACTGGTGAGTCTAATATTCTTTCACAAGTGCACTGATATTATTTATACCATTTTTACAATAATGCAGTAGTCTGCATAACAGTAAATCTTCTATTTTTTTGTGAGAATAAAAATTCAAAATGGAAAGCAAGAGTAATATAAGAAGGGCCTGGAGACATGACTAATGAACAGAGAAAATGTTATTTTACTGCCAGGAATGTCTGTCTTGCTTATTCTAGACCCTATTTTGAAATTGGCATCTTTTGAAATTTGTGTGAAATTGGCCAAATTCCCAATTTCTGACCACTTTACTGGGTAGTTGAAATCAGTAAATGGGCAGTTTCTTGTACTCAACTGATAGAACAAATGGAGTTCTAGCGAAATAGCTAAGATTTTATTTGACTGGAACATTGGAATTGGCCGAAAATAGGGCTCAAAGTGGACAAAATTGCCAATGCATAAATATCTTTCAAGACCACTAACTTTGTGAGAGCATAATTCTGTAAGTTTTCCATCAAATTTCATACTTTTGGTGTGATTACCATCGGGAAAAAATTCTCTATCATTTCATAAGAAAAAATAATTTTTTGTTTTTTTAATTTTTCGACCCTGAGTGGGAGTTCAGGATCAAGAGTCTCGGCCCTCAAAGGATTAAAAACATCCGAATACGTTTTCTATCGAGCAAGCTTTTTGAGTTCTTTGTTCTTTCTGTACTGAAGTAGTTGGAATTTGTCGCTTCAACACTGTGTTTTCTGTTGCCTAATGGAAGACTTTGTTGATATAGGTTTTCTGAGCCATTTACAGTGGAATCCCGAATATCAGCCGTAATCCGTTCCAGAAGGTCGGCCTAAATTCGAACCAATATTTCCCATAGGAATTAATGTAAATACAATTAATAAAAAAAATACATTTTGTAAAGTTTAACTATAGTTTTACATACATAAAACAATAAATAAATATAAACATTACATACCTTTACTGAAGACTCTTGTTGGCATATGGAAGACGACGAGGAGGGGAGAGGGTGTTGGGGTTATTGTTTGGAAGGGAAATCCCCATCCATAATGACTTCAGGTAACAAGTCCCTCTCTGGGGTTACTTCCCTCCCTGCCTGCTACACTCCCTGCATGCCTGCTACACTCCCTCCATGCTACACTCCCTGCATGCCTGCTACACTCTCTCCATGCTACACTCCCTGCCTCCCTCCCACACTCCCTGCCTCCCTCCCACACTCCCTGCCTCCCTCCCACACTCCCTGCCTCCCTCCCACACTCCCTGCCTCCCTTCCACACTCCCTGCCTCCCTGATAAACCCACTTTCACAACATTAGCTTCCTTGATTTCTACTTCCTTTGCCAGGATGGAAGTGATTGCTGATTTGGATTTCCCATACATCCTGGCAAGTTCTAGCACTCGAACACCAGTCTCATATTTTTCAATAGCTTCTTTCTTAAATTCCATCGTGTTTCTCACTTTCTTTACCAAAGGAACTTTACTAGGAACCTTCTTTGGGCCCATGGTGGCTTATTTCACAGTCGCACTTAATAAACAAGCACAAAAACCAATGAATTTTACGGAAATGTTTGGATGAATGCGCGGAGTATATGCTCATTCACCATTAGACCCAGGGAGACTGACTCACCTATGCACGGTGTCCTGGCGGGAGGCGGGCTGAGACTTATAATACAGATGACTTACAAGGCATCGGCCAAAATACAGAGCAAAATTTCTGCCCAAACGCCAGCCTAAATACAAATTGGCCAATAAATGCAGAGGCCGATATTCGGGGTTCCACTGTATAATGATGAATCTTACCAACAAGTTGATGAATGAGACACCTGTACAACACTTTGGTATCTTTACTGTGGAAATGTTTCATCACCAAGCGGCTAACTCAGTCCAGCACAGAAATGAATGGTGGAAGATGAGTAGTAGTTTGAGGTAATCAGTCTGTTAGCCTTGAGTCGATGTTTTCAGTCCATCAATCAATCTTGATCAAAGTACAGCATATGAGTGGAGGAGAGGCTTATATACATCAGACAGTTGAGGCAAAACAGTCGGAAGCAGCGTCACCATGGAAAAATCCACAGGTGGAAGTAGGTCATGCCTCTAGGTTAGGCAGGTGTAGAATTCCCAGTGTCAAAACCCCAAGATGATGTTATGTCTGACAGAAAGCAGACATTTTATTTGGGATAGGTACTGGTGAGTTCACTTTGCATGGTATTCTTTATTTTATTCAAACTGTATTTACTAATAAAAATATGTTTGGTATAAGTTGGCTCTCGGGATCTAACACAATGCACATCACAGTGAACTAATCAGTGTAAATTGGACAAACCTAAGTGCTACCCATAATGAGTTCTTTGGATTTTTTCATCACTAACACACAAATGTCCCATGATTTGCCATATGCTATTTGAACATAACTCCTACATGTAATCCATGTGTTCCTGATATGCTATTTGAACATAACTCCTACATGTAATCCATGTGTTCCTGGATCCAGGTTTCAGACCACCTGAGACATGTGGGTCACTTGTAAAGAATCAGCATTTACCTCTACCTCCTTTCCTACCCCCTCTCCCTCCTAAAATTTTTTTCTTTTTTTTATGAATCCACAGATTACACTGGAGAATACAGTAAAAAAAAAAAAAAAAAGTAGCTGCCATGCTGCAGTCCCATCTGCTGATCTGCATTTAATTCTAAATTCAAATAATGTGTTGTTACGCATAACTTTCCCAAATGTTTTCAAGCCAAACATTTTTTTGTTACAAAACATTTTCATTTATGAGAGTTTCAAATTAACAAGGTCTGACTGTACATTTTAACAAATTTCTTTGTTTTTCCAAATGTACTTATTAGTGAAGCTGATATGAGTCATCAACATACGAAACTCCTTATTCTTAGATAGACAAAAATTAAAGTATTCTGATACACTAACCTGCACCAACTCCAACCTCAAACAAAGTCTCTCCATTTCCATCACAAATCTTCTCTTGAAGATGTGATCGAAGTTGATCGAAGACAATATCATCAGGACTAATCAGCATATTCTGTAGGACCCCATACAATATATAACTTGTTACAAGCATTAGATCATGCACTTATTTTAGAATTAAAAAAAGGATGAATACCCCTAATATTATTATGGTAACAGCTCCCAAAACAAGTGTTCGGTTCACCTCCCCCCCTTTCGAAAAAACAAATACAGTACCATTAAATTTGATCTTCATACCACTGTACTCTAGTATACATAGCAAAAGCCAACTATGGTAAATTCATTATTGTATAATAAAACAATAAAAATAATAATATATTATTTTAAAACTTACAAGTGATACAGTTTTTAATATGCACACAGAATGCACAGCATTTTGGGTAGAATTACACTAGGATTCAAACTACTTAATATTGCACTAAAGAATACATGGGTGCAAAACTGTTTTAGCTGATGAGTTTAACCCTTTGACTGTTTTTGTCATACACATACGTCTTACGAGCCAGTGTTTCGGACGTATTTAAACGCGCAAATTCTAGCGGCTTCAAATCAAGCACGAGAAAGCTGGTAGGCCCACATGTGAGAGAATGGGTCTGTGTGGTCAGTGTGCACCACATAAAAAAAATCCTGCGCCCCGCAGTGCATAATGAGGAAAAAAAACTCTGATCGTTTTTTTGGATTAAAACGCTGACTTTGAGGTGCATTTTCGTATAGTATTTATCGTTGTATTCTCGTTTTCATGGTCTCACGTGATAAAATGGAAAACATATTGCAGAAATAGATTTCATGATGAAAACAACCTTGAAATTGAGCTCAAAGTAGCGGAAATGTTCGATTTTTACCAATGTTCAAGAGTAAGCAAATCACACAATACGTCCAATACACGTCAACTGGGGAGTCTAATATTCTTTCACTAGTGCACTGATATTATTTATACCATTTTTACAATAATGCAGTAGTCTGCATAACAGTAAATTTTGTATTTTTTGTATGAGTAAAAAATCAAAATAGAAAGCAACAGTAATATAAGAGGGGCTTAGAGATGTGACTAATGAACAGAGGATATGTTATTTCAGTGCCAAGAATGTCTACATTGTTTATTCTGGACCCTATTTTGAAATTGGCATCTTTTTTAATTTGGTTGAAATTGGCCAAACTGCCAATTTCTGACCACTTTATTGGGTAGTTCAAATCGGTAAATGGGCAGTTTCTTGTACTCATTTGATAGACAAAATGGAGTTCTAAAGAAATAGCTATGAGCTTGGTCAACTGGAACAACGGAATTGGCCAAAAACAGGGCTCAAAGTCGGTGAAATCACCGATGCGTATAGGTCGCCGAGACTGCTAACTTCGCGGGAGCATAATTCGTGAGTTTTCGACCAAATTTCATACTTTTGGTGTCATTACCATCAGGAAAAGATTCTCTATCATTGCACAAGAATTGTTTTTTTTTTTTTTTTTCAAAAAATTTTGTGACATAGAATGACAGTTTCAGAAAGGGGCTTGCAACAGTCAAAGGGTTAACAGAAAGTACTGATAAGTAAAATGGAAACATTGCACTATTATTTATGTATGAATTAAAGTTAATAACTGGACAGGCAGGATAATAATCATGTACAGAAGAATGAAAAGCTATAATAATAATAATAATGAAGCGATAAAGATTACAGATAAAGTCAATACAGTACGTATACTAAAATTTAGGGGCAGAATTAAGGAAAGGCTGGGATACATGGCGTAATTATTAAGCTAACAGGAAATATAACAATACGATAGCAATTAAAGAAATTTTGGTGCAACTTTAACATGCAGTCTACCAGTTCATTTACACTTTAGAATGTGCTCTACCAGCATTTTTACACTTTAGCGTATGGTCTACCAGCACTTTTACACTTAATCTAACCTAACCTAGCCAAGTTAGGTTAGGTAGGCCGCACATTAAAAGTCAGTTCTCAGCGTAGACTACAAATACTGCAGTAGACCGCACACTAGAGTAGCGCTGAAATTTCTTCTAGCGAGTTACATATAATTATATGATTGAAGCATTTACATGCACGGTATTTGTTTCAGCTTCGATTTGAATTCATTTAGTATTTAAATTTTCTAATTCATCTTAGGTTATTTCACTTGTTGGGCCACTCAATTTACAGAGTTTCTTTAGTGGTTCAAAAGAAACACACGGAGTAGAAGAGGTACTGTATGCATTTTTAGTGTAATGCCTGTGTGTTCTGTTATAATTTTCCAGGAAGTGTCTTACATCAGCACCAGCATTATCATGCAGTGTTCTAAATATTGTATGTGGAGAGAACAGTAGTAGGATTTGGTATTGTATTTAGACGGTTTAGGGACTTGAATAAGTGCATACTGATTTGCCTAATATTGGAGTTTGTGATGGTTCTCCTAGCTGCCTTTTATTGATTGATGACCTGTTTGAAATAGACTACAGGGGTGGATCCCCTGGCACAAATCCCATATGCCAGGTATGGATAACTGAGGGAAAAGTTGTGCTAGTAACCTAGGCTGGGGAACATAATAGGCTGATACTGATATCAAAATAAACTGATACCTTACCAATGCCATCAAAATTAGACAACACCCAGTGATACTGATACTTTAGCATACCACTACATATTGAAACTTAGGCATCCCCCTTTGACATTTTTTTTTATGTTAGATTTTTTTTTTTTTTTGTAACACGTTGGCCATTTCCCACCAAGGCAGGGTGACCCAAAAAGAAAGAAAAAAAAAAAAAACTTTCATCATCATCCAACACTTTCACCATCACTCATACATAATCACTTTCTTTACAGAGGCACTCAGATACGACACTTTATATGTCCCTCCAAACTGCCAATATTCCAAACCCTTCCTTTAAAAAGTAGGACTCAAGTCCGGCTAACTGGTTTCCCTGAATCCCTTCACAAAATATTACCCTGCTCACACTCCAACAGCTTGTCAGGTCCCAAAAACCATTCGTCTCCATTCACTCCTATTTAACACGCTCATGCACACTTGCTGGAAGTCCAAGCCCCTCACCCACAAAACCTCCTTTACCCCCTCCCTCCAACCCTTTCAGGGACACCCCTACCCCACCTTTCTTCCCCTACAGATTTATATGCTCTCCAATTCATTCTCTCTAAATGACCAAACCACATCAACAGCCCCTCTTCAGCCCTTTGACTAATATTTTTCGTAACTCCACACCTCCTCCTAATTTCCACACTAAGAATTCTCTGCATAATATTTACACCACACATTGCCCTTAGACAGGACATCTCCACTGCCTCCAGCCACCTCCTTGCTGCAGCATTTACAATTCATGCTTCACACTCATATAAGAGTGCTGGTACCACTATACTCTGGTACATTCCCTTCTTTGCCTCCGTGGATGACGTTTTTATGTCTCCACAGATACCTCAACGCACCACTCACCTTTTTTCCTTCATTAACTCTATGGTTAACCTCATCCTCCATAAACTCATCTGCTGACAAGTCAACTCCCAAATATATGAAAACATTCACTTCTTCCATACTCCCTCCCTCCAATGTGAGATCCAATTTTTCTTTATTTAAATAATTTGATTCCTTCATTACCTTACTCTTATCTATGTTCACTTTAAACTTTCTACCTTTACACACAGCATCAAATTTTGATTTGCTATCCACAGTTAAACTAATGAGTTTTTCCTCTTGTTTTTTTCTTCGGTTTCATTAATTCTAATATCTAACTGGGGACAGTTTGCACCTAAAAGTTATATAGAATGTTTTTTATCAAGATTAATGGTGGGATTACTTATAATCATCCAAGTGTAAACTTTATATTTTATTCATTAACTACGGTACTAAGTCAAGGGGTGTGAGCTTAGTAATATAAAGATTGCGTCATCGGCAAAGAGTACAGGTTTCAGATGTTGGATCGCATTTAGTAGGTCACTTACATACAAAAGGAAAAGAAAGGGAGGCCCAGAATGCTACCTTAAGTGACACCTGAATTCATTGGTAGTGTGCTTAAAGAAGTGCCACTTCTTGCTGTGGTAACTGTATAATAGAAAATACTTGTATGTGTGCCTGAGTCCAGAGTCCATGGAGATTTAACTTGAGTAGAAGAATGTTGTGGTCAAAAGCATCAGAAGCCTCTTGCAAATCAATAAAAAAAAGTCTATAGGATATTAATTTATTGCAAGTGCTTAATAAACTGTGTCAAGAATTTTTATAATTGAATAATCTGTGCTTTCCTTTTTTAGGCTTTGAATCCTAGCTGAAAAGAAGTAAACATATTGTGTCTGGTTAAGTATGTGAACATATGTTTTTGGATTACTTTCTCAAATATTTATGATAGTAATGGAATACTAAATATTGGTTTGCAGTTATTAACATCACATGGATTACCACCTTTGTGGTAATTTACAGCTGTCATCAAATTATGAACCCATGAACATTATTATTACATTCATGGGAGAAGAGTTGAACAGTTAGAAGAATGGGAGGAAATCAAGCTTGACCCAAGGAAGGGAAGGTCAGGTCCAATTTCTTGGATCATGAGTGTCTCATTGGCATCAAGGAACTGCCCTAGAGGGAATGAACCCAAAAAACTAACCATCACTGGATAGTGTTCTATTTACATCACTTTATTTTTGGGGGGTGGGAAATACATTACAGTACTCACCATATTCATTTCTGTTAGTGCCTGTATGACACTTCCACAAAAATGTTGTTTTAAAGGAAAAAGTACTGTATATTTTACTGGGAAATTTTCCAGGAGCACAACTCATGAAATAAGAATCTCACCATATCATGAAAGTAACCAACTGTGTGAGGAATACAATTACAAATGCACAATTTACATCTATAAGGAAAATGGGTTTCAGTAAAACAATTTTCTTAACCAATTAATTTCTGTGAAACATGTCTCGTTAACTCTGCAGAGGATTACTGTACAGTGCAGGTCGGCCAACACTAATCCGGCAATCAGTAATCCGGTTACATCAGTAATCTGGCACTAATTTCAGTTAACATAATTTCAAATTTCCAGGGCCACCACACCAACCTGCTGCTACTGTTTGGTGGCGCTACTTGCTGCATAAGTCATTCCAATTTCCTTTTCCCCATTTATTGTCATAACCTGCTCACTTTTAGCCCTAGCCATGGTTCCAACAAATGTTTCTTGCTGTGTAAAGCACATACACTGTCCAAAAAAGATAAGGTGGCTTTGAAGCCACTGTTATGAGCTCAGCTCACTCAGATAATATGTGACAGGTAAATTTGGGCCTACATATAAGAGAATAGGTCTGTGTGGTAAATGTGCACTATATAAAAATAACGTTGCAGTACTTAGTGAATAATGAGAAAAAATGGCGACTGTGCTTTTGGTGTAAAACAGAGACTCTGCGTTGTATTTTCATATGGTTTGTATGGTTGTACATAGTCTCTTCTTTTTATGATAGCACGGAAGGTATATTACAGAAACTGATATAATTTTGACTGGTTTCACGCCGGAAAGTACCTTAAAATTGAGCTCAAATTGGTGGAAGTGTTCAATTTTTGCTGATGTTCAAGAGTAAACAAATGTCACCATCCATAACATGTTGAACTGGCCAGGCTAATATGCAGTCACGACTGGGTTGACATTACAGTGGACCCCCGGTTTGCGAAGCCATCGGTATCCGATAAATCCGGTATCCGAAGCATTATATCGCAAAAAATTTGCCTCGGTTCCCGTTACAAAACCCGGTATGCAATACGATTCGTACGAGACGTGTCCACGTGTGGTCTGAACTGCCCCGTGTGTGCCAGTGTTTACAAGCCAGCCAGTGTGCGCACATCTAAGGATACATTCGGTACATTCCATATTATCCATATTATCACTGTTTTTGGTGCTTGTTTCTGCAAAATAAGTCACCATGGGCCCCAAGAAAGCTTCTAGTGCCATCCCATCGAGACCAAGGGTGCTAATGACTATTGAAATTAAGGAAATGTGTGCAAAGTGGCTTGAAGTGCAAACCTTTTTTGGTGAAAATCACCCTGACACAGCTACTGCAAGCAGTGTTGGTAACCTGTACACTGACAATGTTGTGAACCACTTTAGGAAAGTCATAAAGGAACGAGAGGTACAGGCCTCTAAGGACAGATATGTTGTGCTACAGAAGTCCAGTGACTCTCAAGCTGGTCCTAGTGGCATTAAAAGAAGAAGGGAAGTAACCCCGGAAAAGGACTTGCTACCTCAAGTCCTAATGGAGGGGGATTCCCCTTCTAAACATTAAAAACTTCGACACTCTCCCCTCCTCCCATCCCATCAATCATCACCAGATCTTCATTAAAGGTAAGTGTCAATTATTCTATTGTGATTATTCTATTGTTATTATTGTTATTGTAATTATTCTATTGTTATTATTGTTATTGTAATTATTATATTGCATTAAACTTAATATTTCATGTGGTAAAAGTTTTTTTCATACTTTTGGGTGTCTTGCACGGATTAATTTGATTTTCATTATGTCTTATGGGGAAAATTGATTCGCTTTCCGATAATTTTGGTTTATGATGAGCTCTCAGGAACGGTTTAATATCGTGAACCGGGGGTCCACTGTATTTATACCAATATTTCAATAATGCAGTAGTCTGCATAACAGTAAATCTTCTATTTTTTGTGTGAATAAAAATTAAAAATGGAAAGCAAGCGAACAATAAGAGGGGCCTGGAGGCGTGAGCAATGAACAGAGAAAATGTTATTTTAATGCCAGGAATGTCTGTATTGTTTATTCTGGACCCTAGTTTGAAGCTGGCATCTTTTTAAATTTGTGTGAAATTGGCCAAATTACCAATTTCTGACCACTTTATTGGGTAGTTGAAGTAAGTAAATACATGGTTTCTTGTACTCAGTCAAGAGAATAGAAGGAATACTAGCGAAATAGCTATGAGTTTGGCAGACTGAAACAAACAACAGGGCATAAAGTGGGTGAAATCACCGATGCATAAATATCACTGTTGGGTTGAGCATATTCTAACCTAACCACTCTGTAATCTGGCAAAATCACTAATCCAGCCCCCTACAGGTCCCAATGATGCCAGATTAGTGATGATCAACCTGCATTATGGTTATCAGCCAAACTTCTGGTACCATGAAACTGCAATTTTAAGCTTGAAAAAAATAATGCTTCTGTAAAACATAAACTTAACATAATTTCAAATAGAGTACATACTACGGTAAGTACCTTTAATATGACGAAATTTTCTCTGAGTCTCTCTTGCTGTGGGCTGTCCAGCTTTTCTTCCTTTATTGGTGACTGTAGCGATGGTAAATCTTGTTTTTCATGTTCTGCCATCTTGTCACCCTTATTTGATTAAGGCGTGCTTTTTTTTTTTTAATTCTGTGCACGAAAATATTCTTTGTACTGCAAAGGAGTCTGTTACTGGGAAAGGTATCACATCTAGTCAAGAACACCAGGTCTAACACTGATGCAAAATTCACTCTGCTGCTTAAATGCTCATATACATGCTAATAATGGTAATGGCGGTAATAGTGTTCTTTCAAACCCTTGGTTAATCATTAACATATGCCCAGGAAGATACACCAAACTGCTTGATCTGGAATGAAAAAAAAATTATATTAATAACTACTTTTAAAATTTAAATGCTATTACTACAAAGCATTATTTTCCATACGTACATGTATCTCTAAATTTACATATCTGCCATATAAAGGAGCTGCTTAATGGAAACACTAGTCATCATATACAAAAAGAGCATTACAACAAATAATATAAGTCCCCCCCAAAAAAGTAAGGAAAAATGTTCTGAACTTGCCCATAGTATAATTTTCATACAAATGAATCATATTTTATACAGACCTTATGGTCAATGATCCTAAAGAGCCATTACTATGATAATATTTTAATTACTTTGTGGTAGTAAATAATGCGTGAATAGTTTTTTTAGCTGTGATATGAACATAGACAATATTACAAAGAAATTTCAATGACAAAAAGCACATTATGTACAAAGTAGTGACTACTATCTTAAACCTCAGCTATATATATAATGTACTGTATATACATGCGGAGGAATCATGCATATAATTGCTGTGTGTGTACTCACCTAGTTGAGGTTGTAGGTAGGTAGGTAGGTAGGTAGGTAGGTAGGTAGGTAGGCAGGTAGGGAAGGTAGGGAAGGTAGGGAAGGTAGGGAAGGTAGGGAAGGTAGGGAAGGTAGGTAGGTAGGTAGGTAGGTAGGTAGGTAGGTAGGTAGGTAGGTAGGTAAGTAGGTAGGTAGGTACAGAAGGGAGGTAGGTAGGTAGGGAAGGTAGTAGGGAAGGGAGGTAGGTAGGGAAGGGAGGTAGGTAGGGAAGGTAGGTGGGGAAGGTAGGTAGGGAAGGTAGGTAGGTAGGGAAGGTAGGTAGGTAAGGTAGGTAGGTAGGTAAGGTAGGTAAGGTAGGTAGGTAGGGAAGGTAGGTAGGTAGGGAAGGTAGGTAGGTAGGTAGGTAGGGAAGGTAGGTAGGTAGGTAGGAGGAAGGTAGGGAGGGAGGGAGGGAGGGAGGGAGGGAGGGAGGGAGGGAGGGAGGTAGGGAGGTAGGGAGGTAGGTAGGTAGGTAGGGAGGTAGGTAGGGAAGGTAGGGAAGGTAGGTAGGTAGATAGGGAAGGGAAGGGAGGGAAGGGAGGGAGGGAAGGGAGGGGAGGGAGGGGAGGGAAATGAGGGAAAGGAGGGAAAGGGGGGAAAAGGGGGGAGGGGGGGGGGGGAGGGGGGGGGAGGGGAGGGGGGGGGGGAGGGGGGGAGGGGGGGGAGGGGGGGGGGGAAGGGGAGGGGGGGGGGAGGGGGGGAAAGGGGAGGGGGGGGGGGGGGGGAGGGGGGAGGGGGGGGGGAGGGGGAGGGGGAAGGGTGGGGGGGGGGAGGGGGGGGGTGGGGAGGGGGGGGGGGGGGGAGGGGGGGGGGGGGGGGGGGGGGGTGAGGGGGGGGGGGGGGGGGGGGGGGGGGGGGGTTTTGGTGTGGGTGGGTTGGGTGTGGTGTGTGTGTCCCCTAATTGACTAAACCCTAATTGTGGTTGCAGGGGCGGACAACTCCGGGGCCCCGCCTTTTTCATACGCTACTAATCCTCTCCTCTTGCTTCCTTAATTTGTCATCCCTCTTTTTAAAATTATTAGGGTTCCTGCCCCCTACTTCACTTCTAGCTTTTTCATTCCTGACACTCTTGATAGAAGAAATACTTCCAACGCCCCTGTGACTCGTCTAGCTTCAGCTTCCAATTAATTGTGACCCCTTGTTTCTTTTCCCCATCTCTGGAAACCCTGCTCTGCCCACCTTGTCTATCCTTGCGTATTTTTTATGTCATTATCATGTCTCCCCCTGACCCTCCTGCCCTCCAGTTTGTCAACCTTTTCCCTTTAAACCTATTCTTCATAGGACATCCCCTTACTCGGAACTACCCTTGTTGCAAATTTTTGCACTTTCTCAATTTCTTGACGTTTGACCCAAGTGGGTTCCAAAATGGTGCTGCATACTCCAGTATGGGCCTGACGTACACAGTGTATAAAATCTTGAACGATTCCTTACTGAGGTACCGGGGAAAGCTATGTAGGGTTTTCCCAAGCACCCATAGCCGCTGCATTATCTGGGTTTAAGTTTTTTGGGTTCTGGGGATGACTCGGGATTTTATCATCCCGGGCTTTCTCCTGAGTGAGGTTTGCAGCCTTTGGCCACCTGCCTATTCTGCTCATCTTTTTTGCCCCCCCCATTTTTATGACTTTGATTTTGGGGGGGTTAAAATTTTGGAGCCCAGTTTCTAGACCGCAATCCCCGCCGTCCAGGGCTCCCTTTTGGGCCTGTCTGGTTCCCCTGTCTGATTTAATTCTCATTAACTTCACGTCATCTGCAAACAGGACACTTCTGAGCTATCCCTTTCCCTCATGTCATTCACATTACCAAGAATAGCCGGTCCCCGGACGAGCCCTGTGGGACCCCACTCGTCACAGGCGCCCACTGTGATACCCATCACGGGCCATGACTGCTGTTGCCCCCTGTTGGGATCTGATCCATTGCATGCCCTTCCCGTTATACGTGTGTTCTCTAGCTTCGTACTATCTTGTGAGGAACTGTGTCAAAAGGGCCCTTTTTGCGTCCAAAAAAAGCAATCAACTCACCCCCCCCTCCATTTTTTACCATTTCCTTGGAAAAACCTAGTAGGTTTGTGCACTGGATTTGCCTTTCCATGAATCCTCTGGCTGCGTTTATAATCTTGTTCCGCTCCAGGTGCTCCACCACTCTCCTCCTGATAATCTTTTGCAAGACTTTGCATACTATACATGTCAGTGACACTGGTCTATAATTTAGTGCTTCATTTCTGTCTCCTTTCTTAAAGATGGGGACTACATTTGCCTTCTTCCATACTTCAGGTAGTTGCCCAGTTTCAAGGGAAGTGCTAAAGATTTTGGTTAGTGGCACACGTAATGTCCCTGCTCCCTCTCTAAGGACCCATGGAGAGATGTTGTCCGGTCCCACCACCTTTGAGGTATCAAGGTCACTTAGGAGCTTCTCCACCTCTTGTTGGTATATCTCTTGTTGCTGTACACCACTGTTTTTTCTCCACGTTGTCCCTTCAGCCTCCACTGTAAATACTTCCTGAAATCTCATGTTGAGCTCCTCACATACCTCCTGGTCATTTCTTGTGAGCTCCCCACCTACTTTCCTCAGCATGATTACCTGGTCCTTGACTGTTGTCTTCCTCCTGATGTGGCTGTAGAGTAGTTTCGGGTCAGACTTGGCTTTCGATGCTATGTCATTTTCATACTGCTGCTGCGCCTCCCTTCTTATCTGTACATACTCGTTTCTGGCTTGTCGACTAATCTCTTTATTCTCCCGAGTCCTTTGCCTTCTGTACCTTTTTCATTCTCTAGAGCACTTAGTTTTTGCCTCCCTGCACCTTCGGGTAAACCAAGGGCTCATTCTGTCCTTCCCATTATTTCTGTTACCCTTGGGAACAAACCTTTCCTCTGCCTCCTTGCATTTTGTTGTAACAAAGTTCATCATTTCGTTTACTGATTTTCCTACCAACTCCTGTTCCTACTGAACCTCCTGCAGGAAGGTCCTCATTCCTGTGTAGTCCCCCCTTTTATAGTTTAGCTTTTCCCTTTCTACTCCTGTTACCCTCTCCACTTTTAGCTCCACTATGTATTCAAAGCTCATAACTACGTGGTCACTAGCTCCAAGGGGCCTTTCATATGTGATGTGCTCAATGTCTGAGCTACTCAGGGTGAACATGAGGTCCAGTCTTGCTGGTTCATCCTCCCCTCTCTCTCTGGTAGTATCCCAAACATGTTGGTGCATGAGATTTGCCAGCACCACATCCATCATCTTGGCTCTCCATGTTTTGGGACCCCCATGTGGCTCCAGGTTTTCCCAATCAATCTCCCTGTGATTGAAGTCACCCATGACCAGTAACTTCGCTTTACTTGAGTGGGCCCTTCTTGCCACCTCAGCTAGTGTGCAGTGGACCCTCACCTAACGATATTAATCCATTCCTGAGAGCTCAATGTTAGGAGAAATTATCGTTAGGCGAATTAATTTTCCCCATAAGAAATAATGGAAATCAAATTAATCTGTGTAAGACACCCCAAAGTATAAAAAAAAAAATTTTTTTACCACATGAAATATTAATTTTAATACACACAAACTGAAGAAGAGATGTACAATACATGACACTTACCTTTATTGAAGATCTGGTGATGACTGATGGGATGGGAGGAGGTGAGAGTGTGGATGGTCTTAGTGTTTAGAAGGGGAATCCCCTTCCATTAGGACTTGAGGTGTCAAGTCCTTTTCCGGGGTTACTTCCCTTCTTCTTTTAATGCCACTAGGACCAGCTCGAGTCACTGGACCTCTGTCGCACAATATATCTGTCCATAGAGGCCTGTATCTCTCGTTCCTTTATGACTTTCCTAAAGTGGTTCACAACATTGTTAGTGTAATAGTCACCAGCACGGCTTGCAATAGCTGTGTCAGGGTGATTTTCATCAAAAAAGGTTTGCACTTCAAGCCACATTGCACACATTTCCTTAATCTTTGAAGTAGGCAACTTCTTCAATTTCTCTCTCCCCTCCTCCGAAGCAGTTTCCTCAGGTCTGGCCTCTTGCTGTTGAAGATGATCTAGCAGCTCATCCGCGTTTAGTTCGTCATTGTCCTCCTTCACCAACTCTTCCACATCCTCCCCACAAACCTCACCAATATGAGCACTAGTTCCAGGCATTTTTTCCTGTTCACCTGGGTGTTAGTCAACTGTTGTGGGTCGCATCCTGGGGGACAAGATTAAGGACCCCAATGGAAATAAGTTAGACAGTCCTCGATGATGCACTGACTTTCTTGGGTTATCCTGGGTGGCTAACCCTCTGGGGTTAATCGTTTCTCGGTAATTGTTTCATGTTAAGCCATACCAACAACACACTCTCCACATCTTCGAGTAATACAGCTGATGGTGGTGCAGCAACAGCAACAGCTGACTGTAGTGCAGCAACAGCTGACCGAGGTGCAGCAGCTGACTGTGGTGCAGCAGCAGCTGTGGTGCAGCAACAGCTGACTGTGGTACGATAGTATTTCTCACC